TGTGATGCGCACATAGAACACCGGTCATGGCTCAAGGAGTATTGCACATACCCGAGTGTCGGGTGGCTGGGGCTGAAGTCCGGGAGGACGCCCGAAGGCGCCGTTGCCAGCGGGGCCTCCGGGAGCAGGAGACCCGGGGGGGGGGGGGGGGGGGGCGAGCCGCGGCGGCCGGGCGCCCGAAGAGCACCCAGCACCGCCAGAACAAGGCGGACTAGAGCCCGGGCCGGAGAAGCGACCGTCTGTTTCCAGTGGTGCTGGCGGTGGCTGACGTCGTGGCGTGGTGTTGTGGAGGACTGAGGCCCATGATGGGCGAGAGGGTGTTGAGGAGTGGACAGAGAGGTGTCCGGGTGTAGGGGCGACCGGTCGTTCGGCACAACAGAAGGCACCTGTTGATGGGCACATACCAACTGGACCAGCTGACAGCGAGGAGGAAACACGGCGCGCGGGGCCGGGGAAGGGGCCCTGGGTTTTTTTGTGATGCCGGAGAGGCAGCAAATACTCGAGGCGGGATCCGGTGTGGAAAGGACGGGCATCAGTTGTGGCAGGGGCTTCTGTTGCCTGACATCCCCCGAAACCAGGAAGGGGGAACCCTCACTGCTTCGGCGACGAGTGGCCTTTGCGTGGTGGCCCTCTGGGTGAGAGGGGGGCACTCAGAGGAGCGGCCCCCCAAATGTGGCCGCATTTCGGCCAGCGCTTGGACAATGAGGCCCGGCTGGGGGTGAAGGCGGAAAGCCCCCTAAAGCAAAGCGCAGGAGTGCGGGGGCGAGATTCGCGCCTAGCCATCTCAGTTGCCAGCGCACACATCATCTCGAAACCGCGGTCGCGCAATGATGAGAGAGAGAGAGAAGGAATTGAGAAACTAAGCGGGGAGGCTACTTCTTCCGATGGCCAGGAGGAGCTGGGCTAGCCTCAGAAGGCCCCCGGTCATGCCGATTTCGAGGCAAATGGCGGTCCGGGTGTTGCCGGTGCCTGGAGATACATACTGAATCAAGCAGGCAGGTGCGACTCGCCCCATCCTCTTCGGGGAGGGGGCTTTACGTGAAAGGTCCTGGGCCGAGAGCAGGAAGATGGGCACAGACAAGCGCACTCACACGGTCCGGGAGGTGAAGACTCTTGGTCGGTGCAAATGTCCAGGGGGGAATAGACACGTCGGCAATGTGGAGACGGCAGGTGGAATGCGTGCCTATTTTCAATAGAAAACCTGCTTGTCGAGGCGCCGACGTGCAACTGGAGACACCAGCCAACTGGGATTCAAATAATACCCGGATCTGGATCGTGTCCCCAGGCACACGCCGAGAGCTTGGGCCGGATTGGAGCTAGCAATAGCCTCATGCGGGCTGAGGGGAGGATGCGCTGATGGCTGGTCGTTGCCGATTAGAGGGCAGGCCCGGCGAGGAGAAAGCTGCCCCACACGGCTCGTTCGGGCCAATCCTTCGACAGCAGTCCTGTCTCCCGGGCCCATCCATGACCAACATCGAGGATCTGAAGCTGGGGCCTTTTCCTCGAACGGAGGCCCTTCTTTCACCCTTTGACAGTTAGCCAGCGTCTTCGGGACCGTGCCCCGGGACATTCTCAGGGGAGAGGGACCATCGGACAATGTGCCGATGGAATTGACCATTCGACGGATGCGACCGAAAAAAAAAAAAGGGTCCCCACAAGTGGGCAGTGGGGGGCGGGTTCTCGGCATGCTCGGTCCTTGGCTTTGCGCGGTACGGTCGAGTGCGCGCCCTGTGGCCGGTAGAAAGACGAGCAGCTGCCAGAAGGCTGTGCGTGCTCCCTCCGGAGGAGGCCACGCAGCGCCTGGTGGGAGACGGGCCACACACGGACCATGGCCGCCAGAGTTTGCCGAGGTGAACTTTGGCCCTGTGTTTAGCCTGCCGGTGCAGGGCGTACGCGCTGCACGAACCCCCGGGCACGGATCCTGCCCGGCCCGCTGGGCTTCGGTCCTTGGGAGCGATCCCCTTCGCCACGAAGGGCGGACCGGCGAGTCTCATCGAGTAACAGCACGCTCGCACTTGCGGGTCGACCGAAGAGGGTGGCCAACACCAGGAGGGATTCTTTCATTCGTGGAACAACAAGGCCACACAGCCAAGGGCATTCTTTTGTGCTCGGTGGGCCTGTGCGCATCATCGGGGTATCACGGTCGCCTCATGGCCTCCAGACAAGCTAACCCTCAGCAATGTCGACCACGTTCGCCCATGGACGCACCGCACGAGTGCGCGGCCCCTCGATGCCGAAGCCAATGTGGGGCATCCAGCGTAGAGGCCGGCCATCGCAAGGAGCCCCATCGTCTTGGTGCTTCCATCCGGTGCTGCCACATTCCCTTGAGTGGGGGCATATCGCCGACCCTTCCCCCGGGGAGGGGGTACCATGCAGCGGATGGCTGGTTTTCGAGAAGGGGAGACCTGTCAGGCTTTGCCAAGGCATCACTCGAGACCAGAAAGGAGAACGCTCCTTTTCGCCGACCATTCCGAGTGGGCATCCTCCAGATGGTACCTCCGGCCGTGGATTTGCAGACATCCGGGCCAAGGGCGCTCTCCCTGGCCACAGGGCCAAGTGCTCTCGCATGGCCGGATTTACGGTGGGTTCCACGGATTAAGGAGCACTCCAGGCAGGTGGGAAGCAATGTCAACACGCTGAGAGCCCCCTTGGAGCTGACTTTGGCATTGTCGCGCACCGCGACAGCCTTTCATGGGCGGCGAGTGCGACTCGCGAAAAAAATTCCCCTCAAGGCAGACAAGTGGGGATGTTGGTAATTATATATTGTAATCCATGTTGGGCACAGAGGGCCGATGCACCGGCCAGCTCGGCCGACGAAGATGGGCAAGGGGGTGAGGTATTGGACGACAAGCGCTTTAAGGGGGGAAGGAGAGCAACTTGGGAAGCATGCCGGCAAGGAGTGGTGGCGGCTGATTAAAAGGGCCAGGCGTGGACCGTTCGCACCCTTCGGAGGCCCAGCCGCGCGGGGCCCGACGTGGAGGTCGGAGGGAGCCGTCGCATATGGCTCGTGCGGGGATGGTCAGGATTTACGCTGGCGGAGAAGGAGGTCCATGACCAGGGACTGGTGCTCCTGGCCCAGGCTATTGATGCAGGCCAGCACCGGGGGCGTGCCGAGCCCGGTCGACCAGCTACACACCGCCATGTGCCGGTCGATGCCGGTATCGGTCAAACTGCAGAACTTACACACTGGGACCGGGGGGAGGGGAGGCATGCGGCCGGTTTTGACACACGCAAGAGCCTCCTGGGGGGATGGGAGGGGGCGGTTGGGGGGGGCGTGGGGTGGGGGGGGGGGGGGGGGGGCGGGGGGGGGGGGGGGGGGGGGGGGGGGGGGGAGGCGATTTCGTCGCAAGTGGTTGTCACAGACGCAGAGAAGACCAACCACAGCCGGAGACCCGGCGACATCAGGCACACGGGGGGAGGGCGCATGAGTGCGTGGATGCATGGGACAAAGGCGAAGGATCGCGCGGCCGCATGGAGTCAGGCAAGGGGGATGGCCATCGAAGGGCCTGGAGACGCCGGGGCAGATGCGCCGAGAGAGGGAGGGCATCGGGGAGGGGGCAAAAAGGCGTCCGCTGCGATGGTCAACGCACAAGTGCGAGGCTCGGGCCGGCCACAATGGAAATGGCGCCCATGACGATCCAGGCCAGGTCGGTGGGGGTTTGCACTGTTCCGAGCACCGGTGTTCCGGCGGAAAAGCGATCGGGCGAGACACAGAGGGAGAGAGAGCGGGGGGCGAGAGGGAGGAGGTAAGCGAAAAGGAAGGTCCAGGATGGCCGGAGAACCGGGCTACGCACGAGCGCCGATCAGGAGCAGGGCCAGTCCGATGGCTGGGAAAAGGATACACTGGTGACAATCATGGGGTGAGCATCGCAGCCATGTCTTGGCCAGGTCGGAGAGGGAGGAAAGGGCCGGGGCATGTGGAGGGAGGGTCGGCGGAAGTGCCGCGTACTGCGATGATGGGGAGCTTTCGGTCGAAATTTTGGATGAGCGGCGGCTCCGGGAGGGGCTTGGCCCGGTTGGAGGGAGGCCATAAGGGGATCCGATGGGTTAGATGGGACCGATGCCGGGGAGCGGCGACAAGGGCGGGGGCAAGCCCGAGAAGGACCTCGGTGATACCGTTTCATAGTACTCCCGGTAGTCGAGGAAGTTGCTGTAGGGCACGCGCTCGGGGGCCCAGATGTTGCGCTGGAGTTCCGGCGAGTAGACCACCCCCAACAGGGCGGGGTTCGAATGGACCCGGACCGCGTACTGGGGCGAGCCATAGGGGGACGTCGGGTCTGCCGGATGGGGGCTGTATGGGGGGTAGGCGCCAGCATGCCCGGGGCCCGGGGGCATGGGTGGGTGATCATAAGCAGGGGGCGGCATCTCGGCGGGCGGGGGCCCGTGAGATTGCAGCAGCGGCTCGTCAAGGTTGTAAGGCATCGGTGGGACACGGCAGCGAGGCTTTGGCGGGGCGGGGGAAGGGGGCAGGAGGAGCTCGGGGGGATGGGGCCTCGATGCTTCCCGCTGTTGGAGGCAGGCCCGCCGCACATGGGGGCAGCACCCACAAAAAGATGGGCCGAGAACATGCGTGGGCAGCTGGCGGGCGGGCTCCTGCGGTCGGGTCGCCGCCAACATGGGCCCCAGGCACTCAAGTCCGGGGGGCGGCTTTGTGCCCCGGTTTGTTGGCGGGAAGCCCGGCATCGGCTTGGGCCGGGCGAGGCGGGCCCCGCCCCTTCGGTGGGGGACGGCCGAGCGGGCTGGTGTGCAGGGCTCAGGGGCCACGCCGGGGGTGCCCAGCGTGCAGCCTGCCTCTATGTGTGCGTGGCGGTCGGGGGGGCTCGGCAGCAGGCGGCAGAGTGTCGATGGGTCCCCGCGATTCGAGCAGTATGAGAGGGCAAGAGAGGGGGAGAGGGAGAGAGAGACAGGGGGTTCCAGCTGATGGGAGGCATGAAGAGCGGTCGGGTGTCACACGCGCACCCGGGGGCGGGTGGGCTTGCTGGTGGCCGGCGTGGCCAGCTGCCGGGCGGGACGCTGGCCGGGGGGGGGGGGGGGGGTGCGCCGCTCGGGGCACACACATG